GGAGGAGGAGGAGGAGGAGGAGGAGGAGGAGGGGCGGGGGGAGCGGCTGCATCGCGCGTGGAAGAAAATCCCCTTCCAGGTGGCTGCATCGCGGCATCGGAGCTACTAGCCGGCTCCGGGGGTTCGCGCTTTGTGGACCGTTGCTTCCATCCAGGGGCCTCGCACGGACCTTGTCGCCGAAGGATCTGGCTGCTAGAGTAGCTGCTTTGAATAGGGTGATTTCCAAGTGCCCTGATTTATTGCCCTGACTGGCTAACCAGACCCTGGAAAGGACATTCTGGCATGAAAAAGGGGCGGAAACAAAAAGGAAGCAAAAAGATTTTCGGTTAATACTGAAAATCACAACAATGTTCAGAAATTCCGTTGCCTCGAAAATGCGTGAGCATTTGTATTTTTCTTTTCCCTCTCTGTTTTAGTGGCTGGACCAGAACCGTCTCTAGATTGACTCCCTTAGCTGCAGTAGGCGTTCGGGACCATGGCAGCAGGAGTAGCGGCTTGGTTACCCTTTGCCAGGGCAGCGGCCATAGGATGGATGCCAGTGGCCACAGGTCCCATGCCAGCTGCTCCGCGGCAGGAGAGGAAGCGAAGCCAGGACTCTCTGATTGTGCTGAATGTGAGTGGCATCCAGTTCCAGACGTGGCTGGACACCTTAGAGCGCTACCCCGACACTCTATTGGGCAGTTCGGAGCGGGACTTCTTCTACCACCCTGAGACGCAGCAGTACTTTTTTGATCGGGACCCTGACATTTTCCGCCACATTCTCAACTTCTACCGAACCGGGAAGCTTCATTATCCCCGCCAGGAGTGCATCTCGGCTTATGACGAGGAGCTGGCCTTCTTTGGCATCATCCCTGAGATCATTGGCGACTGCTGTTACGAGGAGTACAAGGATCGCCGGCGTGAGAATGCCGAGCGCCTGCAGGATGATGCCGACCAGGATCATGCGGCTGAGAGCTCCCTGCCCTCAATGACGGCTCGGCAGAGGATGTGGCGGGCCTTTGAAAACCCACACACCAGTACACTGGCTCTGGTCTTCTACTATGTCACTGGTTTCTTCATCGCCGTCTCTGTTATTGCCAATGTGGTGGAGACAGTGCCCTGCGGGGTAAGCCCGGGTCGCATCAAAGAGCTGCCCTGCGGAGAGCGCTACGCCGTGGCTTTCTTTTGTCTGGATACTGCCTGTGTCATGATCTTCACCGTTGAATATCTCCTACGTCTGCTGGCGGCCCCTAGTCGCTACAAATTCGTGCGCAGTGTCATGAGTATCATTGATGTGGTCGCCATCATGCCCTATTACATTGGCCTGGTGATGACAGATAATGAGGATGTCAGTGGGGCTTTTGTGACATTACGAGTCTTTCGTGTCTTCAGGATCTTTAAGTTTTCCCGCCACTCACAGGGGCTGCGCATCCTGGGCTATACGCTGAAAAGTTGTGCCTCGGAGTTAGGCTTCCTCCTCTTCTCACTCACGATGGCCATCATCATCTTTGCCACTGTCATGTACTATGCAGAGAAAGGTTCATCAGCCAGCAAGTTCACCAGCATCCCTGCAGCCTTCTGGTACACCATTGTCACCATGACAACACTGGGGTAAGTGCAGCTGGTGTTTGGTTACAGCCAACATTTCAACAAGTGCATTGGCACGAGTGGAAAATACGCAATTTAAAAAAAATGTCCATAGAAAAAAATGCGAGGGTAAGTTTTTGTTACAGAACTTTATGAATACCACTAGCCGCTTCTTTCTAAATGTTTTACACATGCAAGTGAGTTAAAAGGGTTGCTGAAGTTAAAATAACCCAAACCTGCAGATAAACTGAAAAAGCAAACAACAAAACAAAACAAATCCTGAAACTGTTCAGGTTCTTTGCAGTTTTCTCTGGCTTTTTACTTGGTTTGGGATAGTGAAATTGGAATATTTTACGAGTATCTGTGAGTTATCAGTGGATTTTTAATAGAGTAATGTGGTTGCTGACAGGACTTGTTATAGTGTTGCTAAAGTAGTGATAATTACAAGGAGAACCCAATGAGAGCTTTTAATTTGATCATGCATGACAGTATGTGGATCTGCCATTTTGTCTGAAGTGATGTGTTGATGTCGACTTGGGTACTGAGTTCCGTATTACAAAGCGATTTGTTTTCATGAAAATAAAACAGGTATAGATACCTTAATCATCACTACAGTTATTCCCGGTGTTACTTAAGACACTGCGTAAATTTCATGTGAAGTCCGTGGACCTGTGACTTGTAAATGACAAGTGTGAAGCTACACTGACCGGTGACACACCCTGGGAAATGATCTGAGGAAGTGTGAGACAGATGACAGATCAAGCATACGTCTTAAAACATAATTCTAATGGCAACATAAAATCTTCCAGAGAATTAGGAGTTAAAAAATGCCATTGCTGACATTAGACTCTAATGCAGTTTAGTGGGAAGATGGGAGATAATATTATTTTGTAAAGTCTCCGATACCAGAGTCGTAGTGTATCAGCTGATTCTGTGCACCAAGTTGTAAAATGCACTTGTCCGTAATTGTAACAGGGATTTAGCAGGTTGACTAATTTGAGAAGACAATTTTTTGCCCCGGTCTTGATTTTGAGCTGCAGAGTGTCATCTATGAAACTGAAAATTTCTTAGAAACTGTCTAGTTGTTTAATAATTACAGATGTGAAAAGAAAAACTTTTCACTGTCATGAAGACAAAGCCCATCATCTTATTAGTCATTTTGCCACATGTTGTTGGGACTGTTGAGATTTATGAAACATGTATAACTTTCAAATTTAACAAAATGAAAGCGCATTATTAAGCTATTGCAAAAAAGTTGATTTATTATGTGCAATTGTAATTTAGCTGGGAAATGCACATACAAAATATTGAAAAAGATAAAGGGACTGTCTTATGCCACCATTTTTTATACAGGGCTTTTATCTTCAGCGTGATATAACAAATGAAGATAAATATAGTGCATTGTAAATATTTCATACTACTTGTAAGGGCAAGCTATGCTAAAAAGGAGTGACAAGAGCTTTGGGGATTTTAATCTGCTTTTTAGGTTCCTGGCTTTTTTTTGGTTTTCATTTTCATCTGGTAGTGACAAACCAAAGGGACAAGTTAACAGAAGGAACAAGTTATACCTGCTAACTAGTTCCATAGTCCTGTATTTTCTGATGCTGATACTTTTTGCCACATATTTTTAATTACAACTGTGGTGATTTCAACAAAGTGGGTCTTAAGAATTTACCAATATTTAGAATGTATAATCTCATTATGAAAGAGCAGGAGCTGGTCTGTGGGTTTTTTGTAACGAGAGTGGTTGTGGGTAAGTTGTCGCCGTTCCGGCCAGTGTGGGCAGTACTTGTCCATGGTACTGAACAGAATTTTGTCTGCAGTTTTATGGCCAGTTTGCAATTGATTATGATGCGGGTATGGTATCTCTTTGGCGTTGATATGATTCGTTTGTTTCTTTCACAAAACCAGTGACTATTACTCTATAGCTCCAGGTTTTGAGGTACTGTTCTGAGTAAAATCTTCAAAAGTCCTGATGAGTTTTGAACATAATTAAAAATCTCTTTGAATGGAGCCCAAGAACCTATTTTCAAGTACACAGCCGTACAATCTGTAGGTCCTGAGGGGAGGGGAAAGGGTTAAAAAGAATATACTCATGCTTGACTCCTTTTTCGAGGTAGTTTGCATGGAGAAAGTGTTGAGCAGGTTGTACAGAGATCCAAAGTTTCACCCTCAGAAGTTCAGATGTGTTATAAGTTCAGATACGACAGACATCACAAATTTCTGGGAAATCATTAATCAGTGCATTAGCTAGATGATGTCCTTTTAATAACATCATGATAACCATATAAAGATTATGTTTAAATGTTAAATATATATGAATAATTTAAATAGAATTAACATAACAAAAGGTTTGCACTCTTTTTATAGTTGATTGAATAATTACACAAAAAGAGGGAAATTACAAGGAAAAGTAGCAAGGGCCACTGAAAGCTGATTGTAATTAGTACTGCTACCTTTGCTCTGTGCTAAAGCTTCTTGTCCCTTTACTAATACAGAACTCCCATTCATTTTTAATTTTAGTTTTAGCTGAACTAGGGCTATATAAATGGACTTTATATGAACAACTTTTTTCTTTTAGCAACAAAGCTAGATTAAATCTTTATTTTTTAAATGACAGTAGCACACAGCAGGTTATGTGATATATTACAAAAATACATGAAACCTAATACCGAATAATAGATTAACCTAAAGTTGAGGGTTTGAGTCTTGGTGTCATTCTCATATTTTGCTAGATAGCAAGGGTATTGAGTAAGCGACCTTTGCAATTTGGGGAGTTATTATCTTGGAAGCAGAGCTATATTTCTCAGTTCTGCATGATTGCTGAGCAATTAAAGTGTCTTTAAAAAACATAGATTACATTTTCCTCTGCAGAGTGCCAGTGACTTCAAATATTACTACATTTTAGCCTCCAAGGATATCCCAGCTATTAATTGTTCTGGACTGCTCAACTCAAGTAGTACATAGTTGTACATAGAGGTGTTATATGAAAGAAAGAGAGAGAGAGTCAGAAAGAGATAAAGGCTGAAAAAGAGAGAGGGGGGAGAGAGAGAAAGATGACTCTAGAATAACAGCATGGACTCTGCCAGAAAGTGAGCTGTCTGATTTAATATTTCAAATTAGTGTTTTATCAATATCAATTGTAGCAAAAGCAAAAGTAAAGTAGGGAAAAGGGACAAGAAGGGGCAAGAGAATAAAATTGAAAGGGGTCACAAAGCAGTTTGTGGAGATTCAAGATAACAACAAAAACCATAGAAGTTACAGGCATAACGGTCAAGAAACAGGGTACTATATAACCTGGCAGAGAAAAAAAACTCAGGGCTATTGAATTGGGACTGGCAGACTTCTGTGGGGGCTTGTGAACACCTACACCTATAATGACACAGTTATGTCACTTTCTGCTGTCACCTTATAACATGATAATCTAATAACTTTCCTTCTGCCCTGTCAGTAGCCAGCAAATGAGCTGGAATAACTGGTAAGGTTTTGATGGTGTAAGGGTAATGTTTGTTCCCAAATCAGGCAGAGCTATAGTGTAGTTTATGTTTTATAAAGATACTATACTTTAAATAAGGAACACAGTGCTCTTCTGTGACTAGTTCTAAAGCAATCTCACTGCTATATTAAACTTCTATATTTATAGGCTTTACATTGGGTAGCTTTGTCAAGTCTTACAATACTTTTGTAGATGAGCGGAATGCTTTATGAAGGGAAGCTTAAACACAAAACTATTCATCTGTTTGTTTTGACTGTATTAACTAGAGGTGTGTCTTCCAGAAAATACAAAGCAACTATTCATTATTTGTTGATATAGCCCATAATATATGAGGAATCCCGTCTAAGATATACGAAATTCCTTGAAGACTTTATAATCAAACAGGTGACTAGATGTGACAACGGAAAGCCTCAAACAGTGAACAGGGGAATAGGGCGATGGATTTCATTTTCCTGCACATTCTGTTCTCTCCCATCTTCACTCTTTTTCCTTTCTTATGATATCCCTATGGGTATATTCCGTCTATTTGTTTTCTTCACTTTTCTTTCAAACTACCACTTTCCACAGTCTTCCTCTTTGGGGATTTGTCTCCTGGCTTGGCACCTTTCCTCCCTTGTTAAGACAAGCTTAACGTTCATATTAAGACTCTTCTGGCTTTATTTTTTCTGTTTCTTTGTTCCAGATTCCTCATTCATCCTTCACCACTAGATCAAATCTTTCATTCATCATCATTGTCGTTCATTTGACCTGAACTTTCCTCATAACAGGGTTTTTTTCTGACCTTTGTTTGATAGATTTTTTCCTTAGGAGCATCATAAAATTTCCACAGCATCACTTTTTTCCCAAATGCCACACACATTATTTTGTTTTCCTTTTCTAACCATTGTGAGTGCCTTTAGTTTCTTATGGTCTCTGCGTGCTAATTTGAAAACATCTGTCTCTTCAGAACTTGTATTAAAAAAATCGAGTTCCATAAAATCTGACAAGAGAGCACAAAATTAGAAATCTTTGTTTTGTGAACAATTTCATTAAAAGTTTGGAAATACCCTTATGATGAGTATTACAAAGGTAAAAATTTGCAAAGTTGGAATATTTCTGTATCTCGTACCTACATATTGGCACATTCATTCATTCATTTTGTGTTTGGTATTTTCAACCCTGTTTCAAATAGCATTTTTTTTTTGGTTTTGTAGTCTTGTATATAACCTAGTGGATTTTGTATTTTACAAATGTGTTTGATGTCTCAGTCTATTTTCTCTTCACAGCAGAGACGTTTAGCCTGAATAGTTAGAATACTGTACAACAGAGGAGGGACAAAGTGTAGTGTAATCACCTTCAAAGCACATTACTAGATATTCAAAAAGGGCTCCAGGGAGAATTTGAAATACTGAAAAGTAAGGGTCATTTTGATGGCAGTGAAAAAAATTATTTGTTCTCTAATAAAAAGATTACTCAAACTGTATTGGGCTGTTGTTGGCTTGACAGGGAACAGGAATCATTATATTCTTATTTAGTTGCACTGGGGACC